TTGACATGAAATATTTTTTACAATGTAGGATTAAAGGACCTGACAGTAAGTGACGACCTGCTTCCAATGTACTCCTACAACTCAAGATCCTCAAGAGTGTTAGTGATTTGTTTATAATTTAAAAATAAACACATAAAATAACATTGTACCTTCATAATTACTTCCGAACAATGTTAAAAAATGATCGAATATAAAATATTCAACCCTAAAATGCTCAGGTGTAAGTAAAAAACATGGTTTTTACGAGCACTAAGAAACTTTTCTAATAATGTCTCGAGTTTAAAAGTGTCCTGCCGCTAATTGCGAAATAAATTTTCAAGTTTTAACCAAAAAACCCGTGGCCGTGAGTTACGGCGACGGAAAAAAAGATTACGCGAGTGTTGTAAGAAAAATGGCGAAGAAAGTATAGGTCGTATTCATAGTCATGGTTCTGAGAGAGTGAATTTTAGATGCGTTAGTGTAAAAGTGTACGGAATATCAGTGAATATGTATTTTTGGCACTTTACAAACTAGTTAATTATTCTATAATCTAATCTAAGTAAAGTCATATGAAAGAATATTTTTTGATTTCTTGAATTTAGTTAGAATGTCTAAATTAGTAATTTAGTAGTTTATAGTGTCTCAAAAACTAGTTTTTAGTGCTGTAGAGAATTCAAACCTTCAAACTTAAAAAAACGCGATTTAATGTGTAATTGGAGAAAATTGATCTCAAGAAATTTTTGTATTAACTCCTTTACTTATAAGATAAGCGCAAAACATATTTTAAAGCATAGGATCTTTTCAAAAATTGTATCTTCAAAGTGTCGTAGTGTTTGTATGAAATATCGAAAATACAATAAAAGTAGGTACATCAAACAAGCCTTAAAAAACGTTATTTTGCCACTTTCTTTCTATCGTGCTTTTTTTCTTAAATTTTTATCTTTTAAAATAAATCTGTAAAAACTACACTGTAAATTATAAACATATTTTAATAAACATATCCTGCAAATATTTATATACATACCATACTGATTTTTTTTTAAATGAAAATAAAAAATACAGAATTTTCTTTCTTATGAATACGGCCTGAGAGGGTTGGAGCAAAATTAAGAAAGATAGGAGAAAAGTGGTAAAAATTATGAAGCGGGAGGGTGATACTGGGCACTTGATGATATTTAAACGTTATTGTTTGTATCGTCACGTTTCTTAAATGGGGTAAGCAGTGAACCACAGGGGATTTTTTTAAGGCTTTCATCAATATGCCTGAACTGATTTTCTTCTTGTGCCTTTCACAATGAAGTTTAAGAAAACTCTGGATCTCTCGATATTTTAAAATAAAGACGGAGAAAGTGAAGAAAAATTAAGAAAATAAATCGCTTTTAAAAAAGTTGAACCGACTTCAAACAATACTAACAAATAGCACTAAAAACCTAGCAGCAATCGCGGTTGATTTACTGTCATTTTTTGAAGAGAATTAAAATGGAAAATTAAAGTGAAATTCAAACAAACCTCTTTCGAACAAAAAAGAATTTTAAACATCCGTTTATGTATGACGGTGTCATACCCGAACATCCATGACAAAAAATTAACATCCGAATTGATAACTTCCTCCTTTTTTAAGTCGGTTAAAAGCCAACATACAATATGGACAAATTAAAAAAAATGCAGTTTCACTTGTGTTTAAAGTCACCACTCCACTTCTAAGGGTAGTAACGTAATGCTATATAGCCAATATAAATTCTCTATAAATACTTTATCCAATACAAAAACGTTGTAAAGCTAATAGCGTTTAAATTTAAGTAGTTTTAAACAAGAAATCGTGCCATTAATACTTAAGAACCGTATTCTCCAAACACTATTTTCCATTTTTTCAAATTAAACGAAGGTCTCTCACAAATTGACCAAACAATATCAAAAACCCTTTAGCCCCAAATTTCGTTTAAAAACAATCAAAACAAAAAAACACAAAAGAAACAAAGTTCTCAATTCAAAAATCACAGAAGCAGAGATAACAAAATTGTATTTTTTTAAAAACGTTTCATAACTGTAACATCTTGTAACAAGGGGTAGGGGGTTCTAATTATGAAAAGTGTTCAACGGGGGGAGAAAAATTGTTCAACGGACGCCGTTTAAAAAAACGACTTCTAATGACCGACCGGCTTTTAAACTTAATAGGTTTGGAAAGATTTGATAGTCTTCGTCTTGTTACGTGAATCGATGAACTTTTATAACCGTTAAAAGACTTTAAAAAGGCTTTTTAAAGTAAATTTATGAATATAAGCATTTAATTAGACTGTCTTTAGACTTTAAGGGCGACTTACCTACTAAATATACGGACCTAAAGGCCTCACTAACATTTACTACCAGTCTAAAAAAACACATATTCAAACAACACAAAAAGTTCTAACCAAAGACAACACTTAACGTACATCATTAAAAACATTTTTTAAAACAATATTTATACATAAAAGGGCCGCCGAACAAAAAGTGAGACAACTTAACTGAATTGATTTATTCAGAGCTCGGTATAATACGAAATAAGTACAGTCGAAACAAAAAAAGTTGAACACATGTCGCGATCGGACGGCCGACGTCAAAATCGTCTCAATTTTGTACTGAAAAACAATCTGAATTTAAAATTCACTTGATTCATTTTCGGTGTGTTTTTTTCGAAAAGCGGCACTGTAATAAATCTAGAGGCAATAACGATAAATTCATTGCGGATCGACATGCAAATGTTTAAGGATTTTTTCGACAGTGTGTATCTTCTTTTGTTAAAAAGTTAAAAGACGTGGGGTCGACTGCTGTGTGCTTTTATTATAGTTTATATGTTTTTTCAAATAAGAGGAAGTATGAGAAATCTAGCAAGTAGAGGTTCAGAAGTCGAGAACGTGTGTGTTGTGTCGTCGTTGTGACGAGAATGTGGTAAAAATAACGGAAGACCGTAAAAGTGATTTCATGTTCGATCGATCGATACAATTAATTCTGATAAAGCTTTTTAAGATAACAATAGAAATACCAAATATTAACTTTCAATTTGAACCAAGGGTTTAAAGAATTTTTTAAGCGGTTTTATATAGATCGGAATGTAAACGGATCACTGTAACAAATAATTGTTCTAAGTGGAGCTAGAGTAACGAAGCATTACTCTTATTAATGCTTCCTTGTTATCAATAATATTTAACTAATAAATCAGTGGCCCGATAAAGTAGTAGAAAGGGAAGCCTTATCTTCTTTAGGCATATTTATCATAATAACACTAAAATACCAAATCCAGGTAGAAAAGTATAGTTTTTAGTAATCATGAATTTACGTATAAATAAAACCTAGATAAACCAAGTAAAGGAACGTGCCTTTCTTGAATTCTTATAAAAAGGACAATGCACAAATATTTACAGTTGTGGTAAGATAAAAAATGTCAAAGTCGACTCCACGCCTCTTGCCCGCCTACAAAAGATCAAGTACTCGACCGCGCACAAAGAGTGCAGTTTTTATTTAGCCTGAGTGTACTTTTCCGTTTCGTCCGACATTCGATGCTTTATTTTTTTGCGGGCACCTGTACTTTTTGCGTTATTTACATGAACATGAACGTAGTTTTTAAAACGCATGTTGCCTTTTTTTGCAAGATATTTTAAATTTCGAACGTTCCAGAAAAAGAAAGAGATCTTCTTTTGTTAACATATGCTAAGCAGAATTAAAATATAAGACAATAGATAGTTTATAGTGTTTTCTTTTTATTTAAAAAAAGTTAAGAGTAGCTCTACTGTAATTAAAAATATTTTTTTTTAAGAAGAGGCTGAACAGTAAACGATACTTTTTAAGCTGGAAATGTTTAGCCAATAAATATGTACCACCACTATAAAAGTTATATATTAATTATCCGTTTTCCCGGACTTCTGTTAACTGAAAAGGTGCGTACTCTACCGGGCACTTGTGATTTTGGCAGAAATCTTCTAGGTTTTGCGTTTCCCGTTTTTTCAAGAATTAAATACGGTTCGTTTTGATGGGTACTGTTATCCTAAATATATAAAACTCCCAACTGAAGTATACAACAAACATTCTAATTTTCTCTACGTATTTTTTAAAAATAAATTGTCAAGAATACACACGGGCCGCCTAATGGGGCTCACTGTTAATTTCTTTCTATTTGCCTTATATAGTATTGGACAGTTTTTCTCAGAAGCAACGTCAGTTGCAAACTGTTATAGAAGTATGAAACTGAAAGAATTCTAAATTCAAAGTCATCGTTTAAGTTAACAGTTTTTCGAATCGTGTTGGATTGATTCTTCACCGTGAGGTTGGTATTACTTTCTAACCAAACATTTTTACCATTTTCGAACTATTACCTGTTAATATTTATAAGTATTAGTATTTCTGATAGTATCTAAATATCATACGTAATAAAAATCCCTATCAGACATATAACACAAAATCTCGATCTCTACAACTGCAATAAACGCAGATGTGCCGAACAAGTACTTCCTGGCTTATCATACGCCACCTTGTACGCAGATGCTTAAAAAAAAAAAAGAATATGGTGCTCGAATCTCGATGAAATAAATTGTTAACACGCCTACGGCGTTTTATCGCAAGTTTTTTATCTTGACCGAGTCTATGTGAAAATGTTACCTACGTAATGAATATGCAATACTTAGATTGAACCTAGATATTTTATAGTTCCTGTTTTGTAAAAAAAAAAACACATTTACTACACCACCCAACGCTTAGATGTGCGATAAAGTACTTTAGTGGTAGATAAAGTCTATTTATTAAAGACCTTATTCTAATGGGAAGTGAATAAAACTGAAACTCACCTTAAGTATACATAATTATGTATAAAATAAGAGTTATTGGTGAAGTAACCAATACCCAGTTTATAAGGAGATGCGGTTTAGCAATTGTGTATTAACTTTAAAAATAAATAAAAAATAAATGTACTCTAAATTGAAAAATGATTACAATTTTCTTTTTTCAAAAGTTACTGTCAGATCAAATTTGAAATTAGAATTACTAAGTTGTATCTATGATTTGAACGCGGAAATAAGAACATTATACACAGTCACCGCCACGCATCCCCTACCCTTGGAAGATAACAATACACATTGAAACAGATGCCAACTCACTCGCTGCAGTGTCGACCAGCACTCCTCAAGCGTTCGCTCGCTGATGCTCTGCCCTGACCGTGCTTGTTGCTGCATGGAACAAATAAACTAGTCAGAAATGAGTTTCGCGTGAAATGAGAGCGAATAAAACTCTTAGTAAGTTTTAATTTTGACTTAGAAGACAGATTAGTAATTTTTTTTATAAGCGCTCTAGCAATGTAAAGCTCATCAACTGTCAAATATAATGGCTATTATTCAAATATTTTACTAAGAGTTTTATGTTTTTATTTAAGTTCTATTAGTTAATTATACAGATTTAATACATATTTAAGACAGAACTTATGAATCGTTATGTACATATTATATGATAGTCTATTGAGCAATAAAGAAAAAAAACATAAACTGAATATTAATTAAAGTTGTGAATAATAGTGAGGTCCATTGTTTGTGTTAAAGTTTAAAATAATCATAAAGGTAAATTTAAATTGACTAAGTTGGAAAAATGATGCGTACTATTGAGAGAACGAGGCGTCATGAAACCTATTTTTTTTTGTTATATTTTGTTGTAAAAGGAAAATAGGTTGTTATGTGTGGTGTAAGCTTTTATAAGTGTAAAATTAGTGAGTATATGTCTGTGTGTGTGTGTGTGAATGTATGTATTCATATATACTCACTATTTTCAAAGAATGATTTAACATAGAGTTTCATTAGTAATATACTATTGAACTTATTATAATATATAGATGAATCTTGAGTTTTCATTGCAAAGAAAGAGCCCATTGTGAGCGAAAAGAAAGGAAAATAATAATTACATCGATATTCAGGCTATTCAGGAAATTTACCAGAGCGAAGGGCAACATCGCGTTGCGATCACCTATCGGTGTGTCCCCGGTCGGCGACTGCTGCTGCGGCTGCGTGAGGAAATAATAACACATTATAATTTCAAAATTGAATTCTAAACAATAAATGACAGTTATATAATTCCAAAATCAAAAATGAGATGTTCCAATTCAGTTTTATTTTTATTTGTCAAGCGCATGTTTTTTTTTAGTTTTTGCATTTGTTGGGAGAGTAAAACAGACTGTGACAAAATTTGCTTCCAGTTTAAAAATAATAACCATAACCAGTTAAAGCAATTAAATTTATTAATAAAAGCGACACTGAAGTTAGAAAATCCTTTAACCAACATTAGTATATATATATTTGTTTAAACATAAAAAGACACTTACCCATGACTACGTTTGATAATTAAAAACTACACCACAACACTTCGTGCACATGCGGTTAACCAATGGTTAAAAATCAAACATAAATTTTAAAGATTCAATAAAAACCGTTAAATTTACATGCCCATTGTCCACTGACTTAATTTTTTTTAATTTACGGTTTTTTAATAAATTATTATGTTTTTTTAAGGAACTGATTGGTCAATAAAAAATAATTAAGAACATTTGAATTATAGTAATATAGTTTCTTGTATTATTAAACCACAGTGGACAAAGTCTATACAACAAAAAAGAACATTAAGCCGACCATAACACAATAAAAAGATAACTTCTTAATGAAAAGTAAAAAAAAAAGGACAGACGACATGAAGAGATAAAAAATTATTTACATCGATATTATTGAGTGTTGATAGTAAATTTACCAGCGCAAATGGTACGAGTGATCTCTCGCTCATCGTGGAGTCGGCTGACGGTGATTGCTGTTGCTGATGTCCCAAGAGCCGCGTGAAAAAAATACATTTTTTTCTTATGAATTTTTTGTATAAAAAATACATTGCTTATTTTGGAGGTGGTGTGTGATGTGTGGTATAAGTAGGCAACTTTCTAAGCCATTCAACCAAACCTACGTGTTATGGCTATCGTCGGTGTTATAGAATCAAATCCTCATTAACACTTATATATCTGTAGTAACTCAGTTGATACTCTACATATCATGTACCTAAATATAGATTTTTTATTTTTGAAATATTTACAGAAGTTAAGCAATTATATGTTAATTAACCCTTTAAATTTTGTATGTTTAAATATCGTCAGAAAATACTTTAAGTTACTGAAACAATAATATACCAGTATTATGATAACTACCGTAAAAAACTATTGCTTAACATCAACACAAATTTTACGGATTCTAAATGGAAGGGATAAAAATTAAGTTCCTTCTGTTATTCTTAACAAAAAAAAAAACAATAATAATCATTATTTTGATAGCAAGCCCTTGACTCAACAATAAAATTAATAAATCAAATTTTAATTAACAAACCTTTCAAAAACTAAACCACAAAAGCGCAGCTATGAACCGTTAAATCTCGATTTCCTTAAAAAAACCGATGAATACCGAATGACACAAAACCGGTTTGTGATACAAACAGTAAAATTCGAAAAACAAAAAAAAAGATTGGCAACAAATAACTGTCAACACCCCTTCAGTGAAACAAAGCGGTAGAAAAAAAAATTAAAAATAAAATGATCGCGGCCCTAATCCGGTGCGCCGTGGGAAACGCAAGGTGAACGTATCCGAAACTAATTTAAAATGTAATATTCTTTCGTCTGTTGTTTAAATTTTGAATTAAGAAAGTTATTACTATTTCCTTTTTTAATTTTCATAAACTGAAATGTGTTTTCTGTTTTTAAATTCCGAATGCACTTTTTAGAAATAGATTATTTAAAGTAGAATGCATTGAAAACTAAGAATGTTGATAGATTACATGGGATGAATATATTATAGTATTAATTATTAAGAAAATATACTATCTTCTACAAAATACGGAATACGGAAATCCCTGAAATTTGCTGGTTAGTCAATTAGACCCTCAATTGTGAATAAATGTATACGTTATCTTGACAAAAAATGCTGTTGAAAGGGATTGTCAAAAAATGTGAAATAATCATAAGCCATATGCTCAAAACAAACAGTCGTTGAAAAATAAAAAACTAATCGACATCGCCGACAAGTTGATCACCGGTAATACAGAAATAATAGAATTATCACAGATTATTGTAATTTACATATCCTTTGTAAAACCGGATACGACATAAGGACACAAAAACGATTTAATAATAAGTTTGACGCAAGGACCTTAACCCTTTCTTGTGTTAACAAAAGCTTTACAATATGTTGCCTTGGCTTGTATCTTTTTTTTTAATTTATAAGGAAGGGATCATTCAAATTTGGAACGGGTTTCACCTCGAGTAATCTGAGGTCAGTTGAACAAGAATGTTTGAACAAGATAGACGTGATTTCGAAACAATTTTACGTTTTACTGAACTCGTATAACTTTAGATAATCCATACAAAAGTGTCGTGCTCAAAGGTTAAATATACAGAGTGTAAGAAAGACTTTTAGTGCAAATGTTTCAGCTATTTTTAACTTCAGTTAAGTTTTCACGGCGGTTTTGCCGTCGGTGTAACAATTGGGTGGAATATAACTTTGTTAGGTGAGACTTTAGGTTGTTTAGACATACTAATACGATATTATTTATGTACCTACTATCAAACAGAAATGTGACTTTTTAGAATGTGTCTAATATCTAACATATAAATGAAAATATTATATAAGTATTTAAAGAAAAACTTTGAAAGACACTCACCTGAATTTCATTCACCAGCTTTTCAGTCATAATCTTGTGGTCTGGGGTCGCTGGCGGCTGCGGCGTAGGAGGAGCCGGGCCTGGCTGGCTGTGACCTTCTCCTAGTTGATCCTGGGTAGGAGAACCAGGCCGGCTTCTGTTCCAAAAGTCCTGCATTTTGAAGTGCCTCTGCGCCTCAGCCGCTTGCTGCAATGTTGGTATGTGGAGAGATAGAGGGGCAGCGCGAAGGTCTAGCGCGCTGCCACCAGCGGAAGCTTCGTTGTTCCCTTCGGCTGCTGTCATTTTGAACGAGTTTTGTAGCCAGCTGGCCACGAAGTTATCCTCCTCTTTGGGAGGGTCGAGGAGCCTAGGGAACGGCGGCGCGGCGCTCGGCTCGAAGGCGCCCTCGCCGCCGACCTGTTCGCCTTCTTCAGCTATTTTCGGTACTTTAGCCTCCCTGGGTGAGCCCTCCTCTATCGCTTCCGTCTTCCGATATTCATGGAGGTCCCTGTACCTCTCCTGCAGCGCTAGGGATATGTTTTCATTGAAGTATTTCAACATTAATTCCAGTTTTGGACGAATCGTCACAAGGAGGACATGCGATCGCTCGCGGTTCTTTTATTTACACTCTTTTTGTATTCCGGGCCCGATGTCTTCGGCGATACCGCGGATCTGCAATACAACAATCTCTTTAGCGAAAGAGCGCGACGCCGAAACCGAACCGAAAAAAAATCGCAAAAAGTTATCGCGCCGTTTCTATTTTATTTTTTTTCGCGACCGAGACACCCCCGGAAAAGCGAAGTCGAGCCGTGGAAAGCGGAAACGAGACCTTCTTGAGACGCGGGCGGGCGACGACTAACTTCTTGGTGGAAAACTTGAGCGTCGCGACGCTTTCTTGCGGGGTGGGGCGGACGCGCGCGCCAGCCGAAGACGCCGGTCCAACTAGCAAGACGCGGCGCCGCCCCCGCCGCCTTAGACGTAGCCAAGAACATCCCCACCGACGCCGGGCGCACGCGCCCCGCGTTTTTTCCGCGGAAAAATGCGTCCGGTCAAGGAAAAGACGCGCGGCCGGCAGCGGGCGGCCGGCGTGTGAGCGCCGCGGCCCCGCGCTCCCCGTGCTCCCCCGCACACCGACTCGGACACAATTTCCCCAAAAACGCATGACGGACCACTCGGACTACGGCCGAAATAAGAACTATTAAAAAGGGCGCTAAGGACGTCGCAGGGTGGTCGCCCCTCTCGCTCGCCCGACCCCGTTTCTATCCCACCCTTGCATGCGAGAACGGGACGAGTAGAGCTCCCCATTTTTTTCTAAGCCGCTATTAGTGAGGGAGGAAATGAAAAAGAATGGGTTTCTTTGTGATTTTTTCTTAATGACATCTGTCTCGCTCGCACTTCGGATTTTTGTATATTGCCGTTTCGTGTGACGTTTTTAAGTATTTCTTTTCGACGCCTCTTTTACTATTGTTTTTTTTTTCACTGATCAGGCGGGGCCTAGTCTATGGGGTTAGCCAACGGTGTTATTGAGATTTCGCTTTTTCCTCTTTTTTACCTAAACTTTTTACCTTAGTTATACAACTTTTTCCGTTTTCTTTATGTGTGCCTGCCTTACTTTTCTATCGCTTTTCTACCTGTGCTTCAAATTTAATACTTTTTTTATCTTTTCAAGTTCTTTTTAGTTTAAATGATGTAGTGTTTTACTTATCACTTTTAACATACAAAAGGAGTTTGTTTAGTTCTAAAAGAAAACAGAGAGGTCCATATCGAGGGCGAGAGCTGTTAGTCACAACCCTTTGCACTCTCGTAGCCGCGAATTTTCCTTTTGCTACCCCACGGAAGATGGCGTAGCAAGCTACGGCGAATGTATTTATAACTTAAGTGATTGTTAAATACACTATTTAGACATATAGTTATGTTTTTTTTTTAAATAAGTGAATTTCTTGTAATTTTAGTATTGTCCTTGTCTTTTTATAAAAACAATGCTGAGTATAGTGCAAAATTTTAAATTTAATTATTGCCTTAGGAAGTAATTAAATGTTCAATTATAGTAGTTCTGAATACAGTATGCTTTAGTATTAGACTTAAGCAGCAATAGAATTTAAACTTTTTATTTAAAAATAGATAATTATAAGTATGATTCTTTTTCCCAGTTCCACCTGTAATTGTAACATGCTATTTCAATATTCAACTACTTTAATTTTTTCTGTATTTGATTTTTTACTATATATTTTAGTCCATAGAGTTTGAATCTCAATACCCAAATTTACAGTTACAAAATATTTATTGTTTTATATTTTACAGAAAAGTATGATCAATGGATGAAATGTGTTAAGGTTTTTGTTTTATGATTTAACTTAAAGTTGTAATATTAATATTTTTTAAAGATAGTGACGTGACAAGCTGTTTTACTCGTGTAATTTTGTCAAATACACATATGTATCTATCAGACAGATATTTTTATATAGTACCTACTTACAGACGCCTTAAAGGTTTAATACTTTTATATTTCAATTAAATAGGTTATTAACTCTAAATATTCGATATAAGATTTGTTTACTTTTTAAATAAAATATTTTTTAACACTCGTATTTTTATTTTCGATATACAACATATATAAACATGCTTACTATGTAAGTCTACACAGAAGTACATTTAATGAATGCAAATAAAACAATGTATAATGACATAATAGGCAGGAGGGGCAAAGAGTGACAAGCCATGGGAGTGACTTTTCATGGTGAGTGACCACGAAGGCAAGAAGTGGTTAGAAAAATTGTATCTGTAGAGTCACGCTGACTAGGTATATACATTATGATATACAATAACTTATCCAACATACATTATGATAATATGATATACAATGGCAAAATATGTATGGAAATACGTCGACGACTGTACTTATATCGTATGGTTAGATATATTTTTTCGGTATAATTTCATATAATGCACCTACCGACTATTACTTTTTCCAAAATTTAGACAACTTTTTATTGGGTAAAAAATTCAATTCCCGAGAGGCAGTACAATATGCCTTTGAAGAGATTGTTGCCTCCCGTCCAGATGATTTCTACAAGAAGGGCATCAATAAACTGCCAATGCGTTGGCAAAGATGCGTCGATTGCATGGGTGATTACTTCGAATAACAGAAATAAAAAAGTTTGAAAAAATAAGTACTTTCACTTATTGCATACAAAACGGCAATTTCATAGGTAAAGACCTAATATTATAGTTAACTACGATAATAGTAAACTATAAGAATTTATACCAAAAAAGTTAATTGAATTTATCTATTTCTTATTTTTTTTAAATCTTTATAATTTGATTGTCTGCTACATCAAATTTGATTATTAAATACGAAACTGGAGTTAGAACCCAAAAGGTTCTTACAGAGGTGACGTGTGAATCGCTTCGCATTTAACTTAAAGTTAGAAAGGGTTTGTTTCTAAGTTCAGTTCAGAGGTTCATATCAAAGTAAAGGATCTTCGAAGTTGGGTTTATATCAAAGTAGGGTTTATACATAGGAGCTGCAGGATTTCGTTTAGCACCATTTTGTCTTATTTGAAGTATCAAGTTTTTTTTAATTAGGGAAGTTGAAGAAATGGTTACTGTATAGTCATAAAAGCCATTTGTTTTTTATATGAGAAAACAAGCAGGAGAAAATGAATGAAACAATTAAATTAAATACCAAACCTCTAGACAACGTAGTTATTATGATATTCTGTAAGACCTAATAATGGGCATGGGCATAATCTCATTCAATATGGGCTAAACTGGGCTAAACTATAAATGCGAAAGCAACTTTTTCTGTCTGTTACGCTGTCACGGCTAAACTGCTGTTACGATCGCAATGAAACTTGGCTTAGAAGTACTTGATTCATGAGGAAGGACATAGGATACTTTTAGCCAGGATAAGCGACATACATACAGGCGGAGTCACGAGCAAAATTTTAAATTTTATACTGTAATATAACATTACAGTACATTACAACGCATGCATGCATTATTTAAAATATTATATTAATGTCATAGAGATTTATTAATCCGCTGAAGAATATTTGCTGTCAATAAATGCACTCCATCATTACTTGAAGGAACCGTTACATATTTGTACACCCACACTCAAAATCTGTAGGCTATGCAAATATTTACCTCTTACAGGAATGGGACTTAGCACTCTTTGCATAAAAGGTTCTTATAACTAGTTTTACTCTCTGTATAAATCAAATCGACGTACTTACACAACAAGTAAATCTTTCTAGTCATTTATTGATGGGTGACCGCTCAAGTTGCAGTTAAATATAATAGTTTTGTTACTTAGTTAATAATACGTCAAAGAACCAAAAAGATTTTAACTCACCGTAGATAATGTATGAATTCACCATTTTGTTTATGGTATAGTAATTGCCTCCTTTGTAAGGAGAAGCCTGTTTCCAGCAGTGGACTATTAAAAGCTGTTGATGTGATGACAGACATCACTGAATATAGTAAAATCTTTTTATTTAAATGTCTTTAATGAGTAAGATTTCTGTAAGTACATAGAATATTATCGATCTATGTGTTGCAGCAAATAATTGATAATCATTCAACTTCATTAGTTTTATTTACTCACGACGGCACGGAGAAGGTATATGCGTTTAGGGTGATTTTTCAAATTGATTTGATTCAAATTTAAACTCATTTTTTTGAGTAGGTACTTATAATAGGTATTGGGTTTCGTCATCTAAAGTAAAGGGTTTGAATTCCCGTTTGAAGCAAATTTTACGATTCTTCTAATTATCTGGGTACTTCTAAAAAAACAGTAAGGTAAATGTTCTAAAACTCACAGTAGAAAGGTACAAGTTATGCTTAATGTGGGTATAGATGGCGCTGTGCAGTATGCTCTGTTGTATGATTTTTTTTTTTTTTTGTAAATCTATTAGTGCTAGTAGGATTAGTAAATTAATAGAGCTATTAGTATATAAGCATCTATAATACAAAACTGTTAAAAATTGAATTGATTTCTGTTCGAATTTAAGACACTTAATTAACAGAGATCTACAAAAGATAGTTCGTATATTTAGTAAAATGCTTTCCTTTTTTATATAAATTATATATATTTACAACTAATATAAATAACGAAACGAACGATATATACGAACGAAAATAACGAAATATAAATTTTCAACGAGCAAGTTACCAGAATAGTTTACAGATAATGATAACCGCCTAACATCAGTTCTTAGTGACTACTTTTTGTAAAAAAACTAGTGGGTTCACATCTTTAACAAAAAATCATCACGAACATTTGCTACACGAACGATACAACTAATAATAATATAGAATTAAACAATGAATCGAACGGGCGCGAGGTTGACCCTACGATTTAGGGAGCGCGCCACAATGGTCTCAAAACTTTATTTAATTTATTTTAATTTTTATCTATATATAAAAAAATTGATGAACTGACAGACTTTTAAAAGTATAATTGGTGAAATGTCGAATGACAGAGTAGAATAAAATAGAAAACACATTCACAAAGAATTCAGAAGATTCAGACACACAGACGAAATTTTTAAAATTATAGTATTTTTTCATAGCATATGGAGGCAAACGAGCAGACAGGTCACCTGGTGGTAAGTGACTACCACCGCACAAGGAAACCTACAATTGAAAAGTCATAAGTGCGTTTGAGTCCTCTCCTCCCCCCTAAGATAAAGAGGAGGTGAGGTTTAGGCTCCACTCACTCGCTGAAAAGTAACCAAATAAATACTTGTTACACCGGTTTTCTATAAGAAAGTGCTATTGCACCAGTTGAGATATTGTATGGAAGATACGGTGTGAAAAGATTCAACAATACTGAAAACTAGATGGCGCTTATTTGACTAAATAAGAGTCGTTTACGAATGTACGTCGTCAACATTTTTACATAAAAAACATAAATAATACAAACAAGAAACAACCAAGGATTTATCTCACAACATACTAAGACGTTAAAAATAACATTGAGAGAAAT